CTCATTTGTTTACCAAATCACCTGGTAGTCTGTAAAATGCACCACAGTTGGGATCCAGGATCTCAGGATCACAGACAGTAGATACCGTTCCATTTTAACTTAGACTGCACAGAATTTTTCTAACAATTATTACATCCGGTTTCACGCTACCCTCCCGCTCCCTCACATCGCATTAACCCGGATGGTTTGCCCTGGGAAGACCCACAGTGAGTCCTCCTCACAGTTGCTCTGGGACTTGGATTACAGAATATTGCTACATGAATTCCCTTTAGAACAATTTCTTGCTTCCTTTTTTGGATTATGAGAGAAAGTCCAAATACATATTTTCTTTTTAAATTTTTATTGAATTTATTCTGGTGACATTGGTTAATAAAATAATATAGGTTTCAGGTGTACAGTTCTCTAACACATCACCTGTATATCGCATTGTGTGTTCACCACCCCAAGTCAAGTTTCTTTCCGTCACTATCTATACCCCTTTTATCACTATTACCCCCCGCCTCCCCTTTTCCCTCTGGTAATTACCATACAGTTTTCTGTCTATGAGTTAGGAAGCTGGGTGAAAAAGGTGAAGGGATTAAGCAGACACAGCAACCATAGTTTCTTAATTTGGGGATCTTCTGAACATTTAATGCCATTAAATTCATTACCCATAGAAAGAGACTCACAAAGTAGACAAAGAATATACTACAGTAAGCATATTTCAGAAAAATGAAACCTGAAGACATGAATTCACACATCTGGCAGTGATTCAGAATTGAATATTATTTTCTCTCTAGTTATGATGGTTTGCATCAGCCTCAGTCCTCGAACTGAAAGTAGCTGAGCGATATTGCTGAAACCTTCCCTTTATCCCAGCTCCATCTGTGCACAATAAAAGGTTTAACTAGAATTCACTCTGCTAGCATCACATGAGCAATTTCATGGAAAGCATTGAAAGAAAATGATTACCTGAGGAGCCTCGGGCTGGCAGGGAACTCTCTCCCGTGTAGGGCGTGCCTCTAACAGATGTCTGTGAGGAAGAACCTGGAGGGCGGAACCATTTCCTTCTGTGACTGCATTGGTATCGGTCAGAGACAGAAAACATTTGTAAACTAAGAGGGAAGCTGACATTTCCATGATGAGAGATAATCAACACAAACTTCCAGTCTGGGGAAGTTCACTCAGGAATATATGAATACGAATAGTATGTTTCTGAAACATACTATTTTCTGATTCTGACCAACTCATGTTCACCAAAAGCTATGGGTGAATTTTACATGGTCCTTTGCCATGTGATATGATTATACACCTAGTTCTGGTCACTTAAGGTTAGCATCATAGATCTACTATGTAGCCATAATGCATTGTGACTGCTGCACAAGCCAAATAAAACTGGTGATGAGCACATATGTGCCCGAGAATGAGAGGTCAGGGGCTTTCTTCCTATAGCAGACTATAAAGCCTTTGTGACTGTGATTCCAAACTTTAGGGTGTAAGATTAAAGTGGAGCGGTGTTTTAAAATCCCTGTTCCTCAAACCACCCCAAAGAGGTTTTGACCCACTAACTCCTGCAGTGGGTGCTTGAATCTGTGTATTTCACAAATACACCTGGTGACTGTGGTGCAGATGATTATATGGAACATTTTACTGTGACTTAGGAGAAAGCTGTATCACAATGGGATTGGTTTTCATTGAGGAAGCCTCTAACAGTGGTTCTCAACTTCCTAATGCCGCGCGACCCTTTAATACAGTTCCTCATGTGGTGGTGACCCTCAATTTCATTGTTACAAATTGAACATAATTAAAGCATGGAGATTCATCACAAAAACAATATGTAATTATATATGTGCTTTCCGATGGTCTTAGGCGACCCCTGTGAAAGGGTCGTTCGACCGCCAAAGGGGTCGTGACCCACAGGTTGAGAACCGCTGCTCTACTATGTTAAGTGAGACCTTGACTTCCTCAATATTTTCGTTAGCAGTGTGGAGAAGGGCAAGGAAAAAAAATAAAAAGGTTTACACAGATAGAAGTGACATGTCAACCCCGTTTTTTTGGCAATCATACTGCTATTCTCAAATTTTAATTCTAGAGCCACAGCAAAGGGCATGGGTCTGAGCCCCAGAAAAAGGAGAAGCCGCTGTGTGAGAAAACTGGCTTCAGCTTCACAAACCCCACTTCCACCGTGCCTGTGTCTTCAGGGTGGGGAAAGGAGAACACTGGATATCCAGGGAACGCCTGAGGCCTAGCGGCCAGCCTGTATCCCGAACATCACCCCTGCCCTCCCTAGGATGCCGGCCTGAGCCCGCCTCCCAGTTCCACATTCCCATTCTTTCATTTTTTAAAAATATATTTTTATTGATTTCAGAGAGGGAGGGAGATGAAAACATCAATAATGAGAGACAATCATTGATCGACTGCCTCCTGCACGCCCCACACTGGGGATGGAGTCCAAAACCCAGGCATGTGTCCTGACCAGGAATCGAACTGTGAACTCCTGATTCATAGGTTGACACTCAACCACTGAGCCACATCAGCTGGGCCCACACCCCCTTCTCATCCTGACCTTCGGCAGCGCCCTGAGCTCCCGAAGCCATTTCTAACCAGCCTTCCTCATTCAAATGTCTTCTGTGCTTTGGTGTGTTGAGTCCTTGGTGCCAGTGTTCTATAAGCTGTCCGGATGAACCGGTGCTTCCTATGGCTAACACCAGGCATGGTACCAGCTTGCATGTGTGTTTTCCTTCCTCATAATATTTACGCCTGCCCGAGTGACTGATGATAACTTCAGGCCCCTAGAAAGAATGGTCAGGTAAGTATTTGGACTCAGGAGACATCTAGAAACTCCTGAAATCATACCATCAGAGGGCTCTCCTCAGGCTCTCAGTGGCCTCTGCAAACCTGCTTTATCCTCGCCTTTCTTCCCTCACCCCAACCTTTGTGTTCACTGCACTCTCTCAGGCTTCGTTAGCCTAAGGAAAGGTATCTTTACTTAAATAGAGGGCCCTTACCTAAGATTTAAGAAAATAGAGAGCGTGAGCACTTGGAACTCCCGAGAGATATAAATCAAGGTGCAAGGCAGTGTAGCAATGGGAGTTAAGTAGGGAAGCTGGTTTGGAAAACATGACAGTCTAAATGAGGCTCTGGCTTGCCTAACTTCTCTAGCTTCACAAAGGCCAGCAATTGCTTCAAACCAAGGTTGGTCACAAAAGGCAGCTCTAAAAGCACAGGAAATAAGGATAAACTTCTGGTTTTATTTTTTTTTCATTTTGTTTTAATGTAACAATTGTTCTTAAGTAGAGATGCTTAATAGACTTGTTAATTAGTCAATTTCTAAATGTGGCCATAAAGAGGCCCCAAATAGGAAAAAAAAAGTATTAAAAAGCTTTCTACACTTACTAGAGAGATTGGTCTTGCTTATTAGGACAGAAAGGACATCAGTTTGACCAAAATAACCTTTTTCCTGTTGCTGAATCAATAGAAAATGACTGAGGACTTTTATATAATGAGTACTCTGGAAGAGATCATTACAGAGCATTTAGCTAATTTGGAGTAACCTCGTATTCTCTTCTTCTAAAATAAAAAAAAGAAGAAAACAAAACAAACGGAACCACAATACCAAACAAAGTGGGAAACTCTCACTGTAGTTACATCCTGACTCTGTTTGGCACTGACTCTTTGAAAGTGAGACTTTTTTTTTTTTTAATTGATGTCAGAGAAGGAAGGGAGGCGGAGAGATAGAAACATCACTGATGAGAGAGAAACATTGATTGGCTGCCTCCTGCAAGCCCCCTACTGGGGATCAAGCCCTGCCTGGGAATTGAATTGTGACCTACCAGTTCATAGGTCAACGCTCAACCACTGAGCCACACTGGCCAGGCGAAAGTGAGACTTCTTAATAGGTAAATCAAATTGCTGGATAAAAATATGCACCAATGTAATTACATGTGAATAAAATTATATGAATAAAAATAAAACAGTAACACATACAGACCAGCCTGGCCTCTGGGGCTTGTCAATTACTCTGCTGGTTGGTGGGTTTATAGATAATCACATACCCAAGCTCTCCTACAACAAAAGTAAAAGAAAAGAAAAACATACATTTATAGCTATATAGAGATAAGTATATTATGTTATACTAGAGGCCCGGTGCACAAGATTTGTGCACTGGAGTGGGGGTGTCCCTCAGGCCAGCCTGCACTCTCTCCAATCTGAGACCCCTCGGGAGATGTCTAACTGCCAGTTTAGGGGATGTCCAACTGCCTGTGGGATCGGGCCTATACCGACAGTCGGACATTCCTCTCACAATCTGGGACTGCTGGCCCCCAATGGTGTGCCTGCCTGCCTGCTTGATTGCCCCTAACCGCTTGCTTGGGGGTGGGGCCAGCCTGATGAGGGGCTGTCTGCCTACCTGATCATCCCTAACTGCTGGCCTGCCTACCTGATCACCCCTAAACACCATCTTGTGCCTGTGAGTGCTGCCATCTTTGAGGGTGGGACATCCAATTAGCATATTCCCTCCTTATTGGCTGTGGGCTCTGCCATCTTTGTGATGGTGTGAGGGTCAATTAGCATATTCCCTCTTTATTAGATAGGATTGACTGTGTCTCTGAAATAAGAAAGTCTCAAACTACTATAATCTTATATCAGAATAGCACAAAGCTATAAATACTTACCCATGGTATTTTCTCATCTAAAAATCATATTTGTGAAAAAATATAAAATGTGCAACGTCCACATTCTTGGGCTCCAATAAAAATTAAGCTGAAAGCAGATTATTTATGCAGTGGGGATTTGGAAATTAGGAGTATCAGGTCTTACGATCTCCTAATCATTTCCTATGTTCAGAGCAAAGGTGAGTCACATGAAGAACTTGGCTCCATTGGGGTGTCGGTTATCTTGACAATATTCTTGAAGACCGCCGTGCATGCAAAGGTATGGAGAACAATGGTTGCTAGGGTGTCATTTGTTTTTGTTTGACTTATTTTCTGTGAATTGCATATAACATCACATAAAATTGCATATCCCATCACATAAAATAGATATTTAATTGTGAGTGCTTTTTGTAAGGGAAAATGGCAATGTTGTTTTTGTATATTAGTTACAGAAGATCCTGGATTTTTACAAACGATTTGCAAATATTCTAAGTCTCTGATGACAAGATGTTTCTCAGTTTTACAAATTAACTGACAACAAAAGAGAAATAAAATAACACAAAATACCAGGAAAAAAAGGAAATACATTCATGTTTACCTTTCAGTATACCAAAACTAAATGCATACCCATTTTATAAAATAACTACAAAATAACCTACTCAGTGAACCTGCTTACTAACAAAAATTAGGAAAAAAGTGATAGCAGATCTTGACCAGGACTCTGTAGCTAACAAGTCACACTGTACGGATCGTAGCAGAGGTCCTCTGTAGGATCTGAACGACGGAACAGGTTGTGCAAAACACTGGCGTATGTTCTCCGCAGGCCAGTTGCTGAAGCAACATCTGTGCAGCACATGGGGCTTCAGACTTCACTCTGCTCACTGAGTTTGGTCAGATTCTGAAATTGAAAAGGAAGCAGTAAGCACATGCTGCTGATCAGGTAAAAAAACAACAACAACTGTCGGAATGGAAGCAAGCCTCCAGCCACACCACGAAAAGCCTGTGAGGCATCAGAGTTAGCAGTTTAAAGCTCCAAGGCCAAGACCAGAGTGCTGACTTTGAAACCGGCTCCATCGCTTACAAATGGTAGAATTCCATGGGCCTCGGTTTCCTCATTTTTTAAAAAATGTTATTTCTTTATTTCTTTTGGGAGGACATCATGATAAAACAATTTTATTCTCACGACATGTCCCAGATGGAGCATTTCTGTTTTGTTTTCCCTTTATATTGAATTTATTGCGGTGACACTGGGTAACAAAATTATACAGGTTTCAGGTGCACAATTCCACAGCACATCATCTGTACACTGTATTGTGTGCTCACCACCTCAAGTTAAGTCTCCATCCATCACCATTTATCCCCCCTAAACCCTCCTCCGCCACCCCACCTCCTTTCCCCCATTAATCACCATACTGTTACTATTGTTCCCTTCACCCCCACCCACCCAGTTTCCTCATTTCTAAAAAAAATAGGTTAAATAATAGTATCTTCCTCATAAGTTCATAGCAAATTTAGTGGATTAATATGGGTGAAGTTCTTAGCATATTCCTGGATCGATGAATGTTAGGAGGTCATTGTAATAATAATAGCAGTAGTCATGTTATTAATTTGTAAATACATACAGCTCTAATAGAATATAATAGGAATGACTCTGGGAGGCACCAAATTCTAGTCTAGGAATGAGAAAAGGCAACATGATTTAAAATCAAGGAAAAATTACAGGAAATCAGAGCTCTAGGAACAGTCCTAAGACTAATCATAAAGCCCAGTATTTGGAGGATAACTTGGACAAGTCAGCGTGAGTGCCAGGCTTTCTAGATACTGTGTCCAAAGATGGCAATATTTGTAGAGTCAAGGGCATCAGAGCAGGAAAAAAGCTATAATGCTATGTTTAGAGTTGTGGTATTTGACAGAGGTAGATTCAAATTCCCAGGATAGTGGATCCTGCAAGAAAGAAGCATTTATTCTGCAAGCTAGCAGTCTGTGCTGAATAGGTGCTCACCAAATCCTCTATGCCATGATACTGTTATAAAATATAAATTATTGGGTCATGTTCATAACTGGTCCAGAAAAGGAATGGAAACATTTCTTTACTTGAGATAGAGGCCTCCGAGGGGACACATTTTAATGGAGTTTTATATGCCAGTGGAATAATGAGCTAATATTTAAACATACAAAGCCCTTGATTTTACATTCTAATTTTTCTTATAACTGTAGCAGGACGACTTACTTGTCTCACTTTATTCGAATGGATGTCACTTATTGCAGCAGATACTGATTTAAAAAAAATTGGTTCCTCTGAGTCTAGGTTTCCAAAGTACTGCATGGCTTTTACCAAGGAAGCTATAAGAAAGCACAAGCGAAGTAAGGTATACATAGCAGCTGGGATCATGTTCAATTGTTCGAGGATTTATGTTAGCCAAGGACTTTCAGTTTCTCACCTTTGCAATGGGCTAATGATACATCCACAGTGGATGTCACATTGCAGCAGATACTGATTTAAAAAAAATTGGTTCCTCTGAGTCTAGGTTTCCAAAGTACTGCATGGCTTTTACCAAGGAAGCTATAAGAAAGCACAAGCGAAGTAAGGTATACATAGCACATGGGATCATATGT